CACTTTATATATTGTAAGGTAAAGCCCCTGCAATAATACAAAGATGATCCCCTTTGAGCAAGCACTTTGGAGGCAGTGGAAAGGCAAAACTCCCCTTTAACAGGAAGAATCCTCCAGCAGAAGCAGTCACAAGGATGTGACGACATCAATGTCACGATGTCACACAAGTCACGATGGTTTGGGGGAGAGGGGAGGGAGACAGGACAAAGACATGTGAGAACCAGAGATGAATAAAAACTACTAAAGTTGTGTATAAACGCATCATGAGTGAAAAAGTATGAGAGAAGGAGAAACACTCACGCATCATGGAAAGCCCCAGTAGCCCAAGTAATGTAGCATAACTAGGGTTGGATTCAGGGTCAGTTTATCCAATTGTCATTGTACATACTGTAAGTAAAAAAGGAAAGTCTAAATCCTAGTTTTAAAATAGTTCTGATATTATTGTGCTGATGGTTATTTAATGTCCTGTTTTTATCTAAATTCTACTAGTATTTTATGTAAAGTACACTTTTGAGCTTCTTTTGTTGGTATTGATTGAAGTAGGCCATGGCAGAAATAGTTTGAGAACCGCTCCTTTAAAGCTTATTCACTGACTCTCTAATGCTGTTTAACAGCAATACCAGACGGGGTCTAGTTTCCTTTGTTTCCCGCAGTTATCTATCATTAAAGTGAGATGTCACAGTAAGGCCAGAAAGTCAATTAGAACAGATGTATTTCAGATTGCTGCTGCTATTTCTTTGTCTCATGTTCAGCGGTGATTATAGGAAACAGATACCCAGATCCTGACTCTCAAATGAGAGAAATCTTCCCTCGGAAGCACATTGTAAAAACAAACATAGGCATGATGTGAAACCATGAGCTGACCAAACCTCTGGGGAGGTCTCCCGTGTCAGATTCACTCAATGGCCTGCATCCCAGCTGTTTCTGTATCAGTGCCCTCCTCCTTACAAGATCTGAGGTCACTAGCTGTAACCTTTTACCCTCATGGGACTGAAATCAAATAAAGGGAATTATATTTGGAACACTTACTATATGAAACTGTATTATCTCATTTGGCGACAAAAAAAGCTTGTTCTGCCTCGGGTAGAGCTCTTTCCTTGGAGTTAACACAAATGGAAAAAAGGTTATATTCTAAGTGCACGTAGTTTACTGTCTGCTCATTCAGGTTGTTTAGAAACACTCAGAGGAGACTCAAATTGCAAACAGCTTGTTCTTTTTCAGCAAGCATAGGCGCATGCTTCTTCCATGTGGTCAGAAGGGAGGTGGATTTGGAGCGCCTGAAAGCCATCCGCCCTTTTCTCTTCTCCTGTCAGGAGAATCTGTCAGCTCTGCCACAGTTCGGTCTAATAAACCAGCTTTGCCAACTGGTAGGGTTTCCTGCCTGGAAGCTCCCTTGCCAAATAACTTTGAAGAGAAAGAAAAAAGGAGTATTCTCTGGCTGCCCAGCTTCTCTTTATTGTATCATCTCTCTATCAGATCCCTGCTTTGTGCTCAATTAGCGAATCTTACAGAGTGCCTTTCATTTAGAGCAAGAGTGGCAAAAGTGACCTTATTCGCATTGCTGTTCTCTCCGCAGGGGCAGTAACAAATGAGGCCTTGTTTTTTTTAAAGGAGAGCATAATGAAGCTTTGTGGAGGAACGATCCAAGTCAGATAACCCACCAGGATTTTAATTTACCACTGTCAAAAACTTTGAAAGCTGCAAAAAAACATACCGAGGGCAGGGTATGCATATTCCCTCCAGAAAGTATTGATTCAATGGATGCAGAATGATGCCTATTCATATCTCTGTCTTTTGTTGTTATTCTTGTGTCTCAGGTGCAAGTGTAACCTGCATGCCAACAGCTGTGTGTTTGACAAGGGGAAGCTGGGCTGTGAGTGTGAACACAACACCACAGGGCCAGACTGCAGCCGCTGTAAGAAGCACTACCATGGAAGAGCCTGGAGTGTGGGGTCCTACCTCCCTATACCCAAAGGAACTGCAAATATATGTAAGTACAGAAGCGCTTGTAATGCTATGTGGACAAGCACTGGCCATGCAGCTAATTTGCAAGTGGCTGGCAGCACATTGTTTCCACTCTTGCTGCTTGTTACCAATAAAGGGAGCCACAATGAAACATCTTTTTTCATTCTCTTTGAGAGATTATTCTGCCTCTTTATGATTTCAGCTCTTTGCCACTGCACTGCATTTTTGCCAGATGCTGTTTGTAGCCTAGTTTTTTGACTATGTTTTCTAATGCATTGTAGATTTAACAAACTGCATACTGAGGACTTGCATGTCACATCATATTTGACAATGATCAGTAGTATAACTTGTATTTTTGACATTTGAGGTGAAACTCGTTAAAAGACCCATGTTTACATTGTGACAAGCTGACTGGTGAATAGCTGGGTATTCCAAGAGTGCACAGCCTTTCAACATAGTTTACTCAAATCATTTGTCAAGAGAAATTACAACATATTAGTTATAAACACAAAAACATTAAAATATGAAAAAAATTTCATAAATAAAAAGGGTGAGCTTTCATTTATTCAATATTCATTTCATGTAAAGTCAAATAATATAAGATTTTTTGTGTTTTCACAAAAAAACAATCAAAACTCAATTGTCTCAATTTATTAGAATAAATGATGTACAGCTTTCAAAATGTATGTCTATTTAAACATTCGGTAGATTACCAAGAATTACTTGGTAAAGTGTGGTGTGGTTTGGAGCAGATCAGCTTTTGGCACTGCTGGGGTGTTAATGAAGGCCAGGTTGCTTTAGAAGCGGTCTTTGGCTCATCTGTATTTCTGGGTCATTTGTTTCTTATCTGTCTTGACAATACCTGGTTCAAGTCTGGCAAGTTGGCTGGTTAGTCAAGCACAGTAATCTGAAGGTCAGCAAACCATTTGGTAGTAGCTTTGGTGGTGTGGGTAGATGTTTGGTACTGCTGGGAAAGGAAATCAGCATCAAGCTCGTCAGCAGATGGAATCATGAAGCTCACTAAAATATTCTATTAGATTGCTGCTTTGGAATTAAAACACATTTCCAGTGGCATGGCACAGCAAATCACTTCAGAGTGTGGAAACTTCACACTGGACTTCAAACAACTTGGATTTTGTGTCCCTCCACTCTTCATCCAGACTCTTTAATTTTAGGTGAAATTTACTTTCACCTAAAAAGTTTAGACCTTTTTCTCCTTATCCCAGGAAAGATGCTTCCTGGGAATTGTCTCTGCTCAGAAGTGGTTTGACATTGGAAATATAATGTGCCCCTTTCCTAAAAACATCTGTCCATAGACCAGCCTCAGTCCACTACTTGTGAAACTCCTACATGTTCTTGACATTCCTCAAGGCTGTAGTCATCCCTGTGCACCTTTTCCTACAACACTTTGCCATTCTGATCAATCTTTCATTAATATGCCTTAATACAGCACTCTGCAAACAGTAATTGTAATTTACTCAAACTCAAAATGAAACATTCTAATAGGATTTCAGTGGATTTCTGAATGTCATAAACTGTAACCCATAATAATTCAAATTGAAACAAAAATTAAGTCAGAAATATTTCACTTTGTGTGGAACATATATTGAATGTGTATATAAAATATGAAAATTTACCCTTTTGAATGAAATTTTCATGGTATTTGATTTCTTGATAATACTAGATGCACTAGTATTTGTTCTCGCTAATGATTTTTTTCAGATCCTATAATGTTCTTATTTTGATATTGTATTAAATTGCTACTTATAAATAATTTTAAAGTATTTCCAAGTAGTTAGCAAAGCCAGTATAGAAAAAATATAGAAAAATACAGGGGAAAAAAAACCCTGTTCACATTCATGTTTTGTCAGACAAAAACCAGATGGGCCACTCAGTCCAAACATGTGACATATGGATGTATGTGTATGTAAAGGATTCATCGGTGTCACATTTAAACATACTGAGTAAGTCTCCATTTTTCAGTGTGAAGGGTTAATGTTGGGAAGGGGAAAGCTCCTGAGCAGGTCACAGACAGCTTTCTCCTGTCTGACAAACGTAAGGCGTACTATAGCGAGCTTTAACAGAGAACTTTAATCTCTCTGTGTCTAATATTGCTGCAGCCAGCCAGCAAGTCAAGGCACTGACACCAAAGGACACCTTGTCCATATCTCTGCATCTGACGGAATAGAAGTATTTTGTGCCCTGAGATGCGAACGCAATGGGATCACTGACTCAAATTCACTGTAACCTGTTAGTCTTAGGGTCTTTGCATCACTGGTAACCTATTTTCTGCATTTCATTCATTTAGTATTCACAATTAAATAAGTGTCAATAGTCCTCCTACAGTAGTAACACTTTAACATTGAATTTATTATTGCTACCTCAACTCCATGACAAGTGTGAATTTGGTATCTCTGAGGCAGAAGGTGCTCTTTTGCATTATCCCCATTATAATCTTGGACTGGAGTTGAGTCACATTTATCAAATCCCATGCCTGAGGCAGGGGGCTCATTGCTTCAATAAATCTAATACAGCCACGCAGGGATATGGTGGTAGACGGCCAGGCAAGGCCAGATGGTGGAAGATCTAGCCCTCTGGTCCCCCATTCGCTCTGATTCAGCCTCCAGTCAGAAACACTCTCATAGCAGCCGTCTGCTGGGATTGACAGCAAGTTCTTCAGATGTTCAGTTTGATTGTCTCACTTGAATTCTCAGACATCGTGTTATGATTAGATTTGTACAGAGATATGGTATTGCTATCGATCCGCTGTGTTGGTAAATTTGTGCAGTAACACTAGTTTTCTTGCTCTTCTAAGGGAAATTTCTCATTGATGGATTGGATGATTATTCGTTCATTAGAATTTTTTTATCAGTCTCCTGTTTGCATGTATGCACGCTAAGCTGTGTGCACGCACACGCATGACATACACGCTCACGCACCACACTCGATTGTGTGTGGGAGTCTGTTTGTGGGAACATTTGTGAACTCTAAGGAGATATTGCTGGATTTACCCCTACACGTCCTCTGTGTTATGAATCTCCTGGCAATGTGGTGCTCACTGCCAGATTGACAGGGTGTTATTAAAAAATCCAACACTTGGCCGCATCTGCACTGAACTGATGAAACCAAGGTCTACCCATATCAAAAGCAATATTAGCAGTTGTTTGGAAGTGGCATAAAATGCAATAATGTTGCACATGGTAGTGACGTAACAATATTGGTCCCCCAGGTGTTGAACGAACACACTTTTGTCTTGAATGATTCTTATTTCTAAGCTTGGGTCCAATAATATGCCTTTACCTATTATGTGAAGCTCATTTTTCCCATGAGGATATTAAACATACAGCCCTTATATTACCACAAATATGTGGAACATGCGAAATGTAATTACGATTTAATAGCTTTCATCTGTCATCAAGTCTTCCTCTTTAATCTCGGAAGTCATTTATCTCACCGCTAGGAACAGGGCAGGGTCTATTACATATTCAAAACCACTGTACATGCAGATATATGGACATACGTGACCCTTCATCTAATAAATTTTAGCCCAAAATGGTGCACTGAGTTGCTAGGGGCCATAGCTGTCAGCAGCAGAAAGACTGAGAGTGATTCAAATCCATGATTTTCTGAAGTAAATAGCTCTGTGTGTAGGTGGTGGTGGTGGGGGAAAAGGGGTGTTGTCTGTAAGTTGCCTTCAGAGCAGAAGAGGAATCACTTCAAGAATTATGTTGACAGTTCACTTTGCAAAGAGCGTCAACTCATCTTGTGTTCCAAAGCAGGTTCAGAGGTCAAGGCAGGTTGGGTCTGAGAGTTTGATCAGACTGTAGAATGTGCTTTGGCTTCAAAGGGCAATATTGTTTGCCCTCCATTTCTCACATAAAGCTATGAGTGAGAAATTGCAGCCTAAATGTGCTTTTTGCAAATTGGAGCTCAGGATCTCTGATTTTCCGTTTTTTTCAACAGTTGTTGTAACAGGTAATTTAGTGAGGAATAGGCTGCAAACACTATTAAAACCCCCAGTGAAACATAATCACGTGACGCAAGCTTGTGAAAGGCATCCAAAATTGCACTAATCCTGGAGTCACATTTGCTTGGTGATAAATATCACACAAAGATGGTGAATCCACAGCCAGATCGAAACACACATGGATTGTCAGGTTGTCATTGTTTGCAAATGTGTGTTTTGTTTTAAGACAGTTGAAGGTAATTTTTTGTTGTTCTTCTTCCCCAGTGTGTTTAATGAGCTTTTATCTCTCTTTTCTACATATTAGGAAGTTCCACGAACCTGACAATGAAAGACGATTACAGCAACTAGCATTTGTAGATGACGTTTGATGTGTTGATTCATTCATTCAAAGATGATATTGAAAAACGGTGAACATAAGCCAAAAGCAGATGAGAGAGAAAAACTCTGTTTATTGAAAACATGAATGAAACTGCTGATGACAAGACTTTTTCAATAGAGTTTTGATTCGGTTGACATTTTGTTGCCAGCAGGCCTGTTATTACCATCAGAAGAAGGCGGAGTGGTCAGGTTCTCTTTAGAGCAATACAATAGCTGCTGCTAATCAGCGAATGCACTGGAGATCAATGTGATAAGTGCTGGTGTTTGGTTTTTTGTTTTTTCAAAGTAAACAGCACCATCAACAATATTTTCTCTCACGAGTAAAAAGAAATGAGTCGATGCGTTAATGATACATTATTTCCTTGCTCTTTCCGCAGGTATTCCCAGTAATCACGGACCAGTGCGTAAGTTGATCAGGCTTTTTTATTGGCATGCTGACTAATATTTTCCTCCCTCAGTCATGGCTAACTCTTGTTTGACTGATGATGTTGTCTGAGAAATTGTGCTGTACGTTGCCATTACCATTGATCAGCATGTTTTCCACAGTGGGAAAAAAAATCCATCCTACCAGGGCACTCATGTAGAATTGAATCCTAATACCCTACGTCTATTGAGGGGGTGAAACGATGCATGGCGTGAGGTTGAGTTTCTCCAGTGTAGTTCTAATAATGATCACTGACATAAAAGTAAGAGTGTTTGAAAACTTTAGAGTTTATCCTACTAATAAAAATTTAACCTTTTAACATTCCTCTAATTTATTTCAAACCTTTTCCACATTCCAGCAGTTTTTCATATTTCATGCTGCCGGTTTTCATAGTTTGAAATGATTGTTTTGCCATATTAAATGAAAAACAATGTGCATTAATTCCCATATGGCACTAAATCAGTTACACTTCTCTAAATTAAGCTATCAAATTTCTGGGTTTTAATTATACCATAAGCCAGTCTGAATAATCTTTGAGGTTTAAAACAAATTCAGATCTTAAGATTTGCCATATTCATTACTTTAAGCTATGCATAAATTGGATTGGTAGTTAGAAATATTATGTATATTTGGTAGCTATTATGTGAAAACTTGCAAAATAATGGTAACAATTGATACATCTTGGTACTGGCGAGTTTATAAAATATGGTGGAAGTCCTGAGTGTCTGGCCAGTGTATCAGAATGATTTTTCCTTTCCAAACTAGAATATTTGTTCTAAGCACACAGACAGATATTTGCACTAAAGAAAGGAAAACCTTTTTTTTTTTAATGAAGGTGTGGTTCCAGCCATGCTTCCCTCTGCATGTTGATGCCTGAAGGTGTCTCCACATACTGGATAACAAAAGCAGCTACCATGCATACACATTGCTATCTTTGTACTGTGGAAAATTCATTTAAGCTGCATGCACACTATTCTACATTAAGCCATTTACTACTCCAAATGTATGGCAGGAATCTTCTGGAAAATTGGACATATCTTTGGCCTGATAAAGGTCATTATTGTAAAAACCAGCAACTATGCATGCTGTCCCTGTGCTTTAACTAAATAACAGCATGACTTATTTGACAGCCAGTGTAATACATAACCTTTCCCATTTTTACACAGATCGGGCAAATGCTTCATCTCTTGGTGTTGCAAATCGTAATCAAGGTAGGCTTATTGGCTTTGTAACTTCAGCATGACATTACCCATAGATAAAAAATTATCGACTGGTTATTGATTGACCGTTTGGAAAAAAACAAAAGTGTAATGTAGAATATGCAAATTCTTGTGTGCAGTAGGTTGTCTTCCCAAAGCCCCAATGCTTTCATCCTGCATGCAAACAAACACACGCTGGTCCTTACAAGGCAGACCTTTTGTTGTGAGAACACTGCAGGGAATGGACCACATGCCTCATGATCACCGAGTCCACAGCCTTCTAACCCCTTTGATCATGCCCTTTTTTTAATTACCCAGTACATTCTCTAGGGGTGCACCCTTTCTGCCACGTTCTGAAAGGAAAAAAATGAAGAAGAAGAAAAAACAGGGAGAAAAAAGAGGAGAAGGAAGGAGAGAATAGGCTCCAGGGGGGGTTTATGTAGATTGATCTCCAGCTATCTCCAGATAATCCTCAGGCCCAGATTTTCTGTGTAGTGTGTGTTAAGTCACATCTGCACCACTGCTCTCACAACCAGGAGAGAAAAAAATTAAAAGAAGACTTTGAGGATTTCCACAATTAAGATGGGGAGGGGGGGTTCCCTCTTTTTTTTCTTTTTCTGGATTTGTAAAACTGTGTATGAGATTAAACAATAATCTAATCTTTCTGCCGTCAAAAAATAATTAAATGAAACTGGCCATTAAACAACAACTCCATCAAGAATTTTCTAAATCAAACGTGACATCTTTAAATGGATTATGTTACTCCACCAGTAGTTTGAAGCAGACAATGTTCTGAGTAATTATTTAGAAAATGATCTGTTAATTTTCTGTTGATTTGTGATATATAAAACTAAAACCTTAACCTGAACAGCCGCTGATTTAATTGCTCTTAAGTGTAAATAGCATTTACAACAAACCAGTCTGGACTATAATAATGGGTATATAGTTGACCTAATATGCACTTCTGTTGTTTGCGAAGACCCAATAAAAAGCAAAACACACAAAAAAATCAACTAACAAACTACATTAGCAGAGGTTTCTCCCGTGTTTCCCGTGTGCTAAGCTAAACTGGTAGCATGTTAGCTGCATTGAAGTATAGCATATCAACATAAAAGTGATAGCCTTGTCCTCATCATACTGTCGGCCCAGAAGTAACTAAGCACATATACTAACATTTTCTTAAATGCAACTTTCAGATCTTGCAGTTTTGAGTTGAAAAGCAGTAACAACTGCAACATTCGAGTAAAAGGAAAATCATGCACTTTCTGTCTTCAGATCCTCACCACCTTCAAGTGCTACTATACATCTGACAGTTTATATTGAACTTCAGAGCGCTGAATCACTGACTAATGATGAAGCCTTCATGCTAATACGATAACTGGGGATATGGCTGAATGAAAGTTTCAGCTTTCACTGACATCATGGCAAAAGATATTGACTGAGTGTAATTGAAACAACAGTATTCTGTCTCCAGGCAGATAATAAAATCCTGTATCTGACAACTGTCTCCAGGTAAAGTCAATTACCTGTACGAATCCATAGTTATAGAGACATTTTAAAAAATATTAAATGCATAACTGTGAATGAATATATTTTAAACTTTAATTAAATACAGGGGCATTTTGTTTCTGCAGGGTAGTCTTTTTAAAAAATTGGATCTTAAACTTTATGACTCACTTTCAGTCATCAAGAGCAAACCTCATTCATGTAAAATCCAATTGGCTGGTACAGACAGATATATGTAACAAGATTGGATGTTCAATAGAATACACCTCCACTACATGACATATCTAGATCTTTCATTAAAAGAGTGACACTAGCTACAGTGTGATCCAGCTTATCGATTTGTGCCTTTTAACTTATCGTGCTGTGATTTTCGGTATCTCAGACACTTCAGCTGCGGAGTATGTGAGGACATCAAGAGTTCACAGAGATGAGAGGATAAAAGAACTGTCTGAGTGTGCTTTTGGACAAACAGACTACAATCTCCTTTTAAAAAGCAGAAAAGAAGGATGATTAAGTCCAAAGTGTCACAACCACAATAGATTCAATGTATCCACAATAGTCTAATCCAGTTGTAGCACAATGCAAGACAGATTTACATTTAATTGCTTTAAATTGTGTCACAATTGCAATTCCACAAACAACAATGGGAAACATAATTCAGGTGTTTGTCCTTCCTGTCACTTCTGTGCTGTTGCTTTGGTAAATGTTCTCCATGTTGCTTCGTGCAGCACCAAAACCCCAGAGTGGCTCTGTCATAACAGTTATACTGCTAAAATGTCACACATCTGACAGAGGTGTGAGGTGCACATATGTCTCCCGCAGAGTATGCCGGTCCTTGGGTAGGACTGGAATTGCTGTGTCTTCACTTGCTGCACAAGCCCAAGAGTGAGTGATGTCACACAGGGTAAATTTGTAGACCCACTGCATAAAAAAAAAAAAAGGGGGGGGGGGGGGTTTAATGTCCTCTGGAGGGAGCTTTACAAAGGCTGAAAAATAGCCCTTTAATGTTTTCATTAATTCCTCCGAGCCAGACTGAAGACTACAAATTTTAAGCTAAGAGCTGGTGTGGCATACAGTGAGGAATCTCTACAGGGACGCTCCCTACAGTGTCCCACGGTGTCCTTTCAGATTCCATTATTCTTACATGGGAAAGGCTCATCTTTGTAAATTGAAGATAGAAGGAGGACCAGCTCTGCCAAATTTCCCACATTATTACTGTGCTGCCAGCATCCGCTCCATTGCCTATTGACTAAGAGATGCATTTGTGCCACTGGATGGGTTTGAAGCAGGAGGACAGTTTAACTTTCACTGCCAGTGCACTTATTTAATGTGTCACTTAAAAAAGTAAACTACATAACAATCTAGCTCAGGAAATTTAAACTACCCATAATAATGAATTTCTCATTCACATCTTCCGATTCAAAAGACACTTTTCTCTCATGGAAGATGGTGTGATACCTAGTGTTAGTAAACCACATCTAATAGCAGGTCTTGAATAAATATTCATGTCAGGAATTATTTTAGATTATATGATCTTGCTGCTTCAGATTGCAGGCCTGGAGAGACTGGGTGCATTTGTTGTCTTTATAGAATATTTCTTGATATAACTTGACAACTATTATCACCACAGGGGAGAACTGAGTAATAGATTTACTCTAATGTTTGTCCAATAGTTTTAAAAATATTGGGTATATACGAAGACTTCATGATAAAAGTATTAGTCACTTCAGCGATAGCAGAAGAGCTGAGAAAATAAATAGGATTTATTCTTTTTTAAAAAAAGTAAGTAATTTAACAAACATTCCACACCCCAATTTTAAACCTAGGGAGCACTCTGGGTTGAGGGCTGGGGTGGATGTAAGCCAATCTGTTCTTCTTCTGTTGTCCACTCTGTACACGGTTATGTGAAATGTATTGCATCCAGGTAGTTTACTTTGTGGATGTTGTATTCTACCATGCTTGGTTTGCTGTCCTTTGTTACTATAATACAACCAACTGAGAAAGTTTTCATTTCACTTTAGATAACAAAAAAATAATAATTAATTTATAGCGTAAAGCATCTTTTGTCACGACAGCACAACAAAGACAGAACAGTCTTAAGCCTCTGCATAAGCAAACTAATTGGTTTTACAGATGCTTTTAGAGAGGTAATGGTCCTGAGGGTCTGCTGGAGGATACACAGATTATCCTTCGGCCACAGGCAACAATGTTAATGTGTTGACTAAACTACTGAGACTTGAAGTGTTTTCCAAAGCAGGTGTTTGCATTAGCTGTTAGAATTTTTATTTATTTTTTTAACTGACTAGAAATCACTGATTGGGGAATTGCCAGAGGACCATTAATGTTTGCGCCCACTCTGGACCCATAATTCATGAGTCCATTCCCACCACACCTGGTTAAAATATCTCCCCAGTCATATTTGTCCCTTCTTTGAGAGCAACAACTACAACATTGTTCCCACGTGGTGGTCCAGTCAGTCAGTTTCACACAACAGAAAGACACGATTAATGCATTGACATTTGATTGACACCTATTTAGTTATGAAATGGTTGTAATCTGAAAGTCCCACAACATTCAAACCGTGTACAGAGACTGGATTTGCCATAGGCCCATTTTATTATTAATTAGTTTAGTTTGTTTATTGCATTTACATATATCTACATGTAAATTATATTCCTGTCTCATGTGTTACTTAGCTTATATGTCATGCTTTGTTTTGCCCTGTCCTTGTCTCTATTTCAGTCAGTTTGATTGCTTTTCCCAACCCTCTTAGTTTTACTTGTTATGTTTTTTAGTCAGCTGTTAGTGCATGTGTGAGTTATTTTGTGTTTCCTGCCCATTTTCACTTGCTTATTTCTTTCTCTTACTGTTTTATTTGGTGGGGTGGGTTGTTTCTTTGCTTTTTATTTTATTGGCTTGTTGATATTACACGTCTTAACCCTCCAGCATCTTTTTGTTATTCATCTCTAGTAAATTTCATTAAATTTCACCTTTGTTTGCCTTACCCGCCCTTCTGCATTTGGGTCTTTTTTAGAGTCTCTCCTTTCCAGACTCATTCTTTTAAACAGCTACACAAAGAAAAAAAACTTTTGCATACAGTAACAAACTTACTATTAAAATAAAGGGTTTGACTACCATATTTGCTCGTTTAGTGCCACTGTTATTGACGCTTTAAATAAAAGCACAGAAAGGCCATTAAACATAACAAGGCTAACACAAAACAAGTCTGGAGACTGTTCAAAGAAGATGTAGACATGTCAGGAAAAGCAGATCTACCAGAAGCATCATTTCCAACACTTCATCGCAAAGTTATTGAAAATCCTATATTAAAGATAAAACCCTGTGTCCACAGCTGGAATTTCCATTTAAAGTGCATAACAGCAGTGGTGTCTATGTGCAGTGGGTAGGAATATTATTAAGTTAAATGCAATACCAATGCCTTCTTAATCGGTTTTGGCATGAGCAATGATTATTTGTTGAGTTTATTCTGATGCATGAGCCACATTACTGAAAACCAAAAATGTGATTACTATTTATGCAAGGAGAGATATCCAATTACACTGAAATCTCTTGGCAAATATTACCTCTTCCAGGATTTCACCTCTGCAAGCAGAGAGGCTTCCTGGGATAATTGAGTTGTGAGTTTTTGTCTGGAAATGTGGATATTAACTTATGTAGTCCTAATCAGTCTACATCAAAACAAAGAAATGTTTGTTAGCCGGTAAAACTCCAGCCACTGATATTACATCCTTCTTCTGACAATGTTGTATTGCTTGCTGTAAGGTTAACTACAGAGAAGAAAATAACAGCTACTGGTGAAATACCTGGAAATGCTCATTTGCATATGAAAGGTTGTGGTGATGTGATGGAGCCAGGTATCCATCCCGTGTCTTCTCCTCTTTCTGTTCTCTTCACCTCAGCACAGAGGGGCTGTTTCACAATACTCTGGCATCCTTTGATTCTCAAATAATTAAATTCACCTCATCAGAGCCATGGTTTGCTTGCTCTTTTGTTTTGCCAGAATTATTTGCTATAAAGTCCCTTTGGCACTACTAAAAATATCCATGAATCCATACAATGTCTGTGTTCCTTTGTTAAGTATTTTCAGAGGCTGTTGGCAGCATTATATTCTTTTAATATGTACCCTTGCTGTCGGTGTCCTCTTCCGTTTTTTGCACACTTTCTGAAGTCCTTGGCTTTACCCTCTCTAATGTGTCAGCTGTGCTCTAAGGACACAGAGCAGTACAGACAGGACAGGAAGAGGCAGCTTGTGCCCCGTGAACCTGCCTGTTGATGTTCTCTGCCGCCCTATCACTGAGTGATCTATTAATCACGCTTTCCTGTCTCCCCTGCCCTTTCTGCTTTGTCTGTGCAGCTCGGGTGTGTGACAACGCGATGCTGCGCTGTCAGAACGGCGGCACGTGCCACCACCATCAACGCTGCCATTGCTCCCCCGGCTTCACGGGCATCCTGTGCGAGAGAGCTCGCTGCCAGGGTCCAGGAGACTGCGATGACCAATTGTCTGGACAGGCCTCGCTCCATCATCGCCCCACAGGCCGCCACCACACTCTTACCCTTGTAGTGTTCCCGCTATTATTCGTTTCCCTTTGCTGAGGGACCTGAACCAAATCCTCAACCAAAACACGAAATGCTGAGAATGAACACTCAACCTTAAGGACATGAAGAACAAAGAATGTGTGGACAACGTGCTCAGCAGACAATATAAGCAACTCTTTTTTGTATATCCAAGGCCACAGTGGTGGATGGCAGTGTTATTAGCGCAAATGGCTGTGCACTGATGTGTTATACTGAGTGATAGAAGGATTTATGAAAGGTCTGGTGAAATCACTGCTGTCTTATAACTTCCCAGAGGAAACGGTTGGAGCCTTTGCTTTGTGATCTTGTCATTGGCTTATACTTCAATAAAGGCAGACTGGATACTCCACTCAGATAAAGATACCCACATCCTGAGAGCAAACTGTATAAAACTAGACACATGATTTCTAAGTATCATCTGAAGTTTAAAAAAAAAAGTATATATATATATACATATATAATAGTGTGGACGGGACTAAAATCATGTTGCCTCACTGCCTCCTTCCTTACTTGCTACCATCTTCTCTCCTTTCCTCTTTTCCCTCACTTTCTCCTTCATGTGCTTTGGTGACCCTGGTGATTTTACTTTGCGGAAGGGCGTCTGTTGTTTTGCCAAAAGCTGCACATGCGTTTTCAATTCCCTAAATCTAGTATGGTTTTTTTGGGGGGTTTTTTTTTAAGAGGCTTTGTAGTCATGCTTGAACTCACCTGTATGGGGGGAAAAAAGGTGTAACATACTGTAACTGTATTTAATTTTGTATAAAACAGATATTTTCATGACTACGCAAAAAAAAAAAAGATGTATTACTTGTTTTCTATTGCTGGCGACCTGTCATATAGTAGATGTGGACTATGAGTGCGTAAGGAGTTTTGGTTGTATTATTTCTTTGCTTGTGTGGCACATGGTTCTCTTCATGGTTTGAGAACTGCTGTCAAAACTATGTTTACATTCCCACTTACACAATACACTTCCACCAAAGCGAAAAAGCGAAACATGTCTTTGTGTTGTTGTTGAACAATGGTAACATTATTAGAAACAACATATGTAGAGTTACGGGTTTATTGTTTCTAGATAGGTGCAAACCAATGACAATAGATGAATGTCATTATAAAGGATTTTAAACTCAACAGCAGTTGCTGATAATAATATCAGTTAACGCGTAACTCCCTGGTTCTTTGTCCATGGCTGGTTATTTTACTGTGCTGTGACACGCTCTTGTTGTGCTCATGAAACATGGGAGAATGAAAAGAAACTCAAGACAAAATCCCATCAATTTTATGTAAATTTAACAAGAAGATTCAAAGAAAAGGAGATTGCTCCGCTGTCACAGAGGTTGTTCAGCTCAAGTCTGTAATCAGATCTAATCCTTGAATCAAATGGGAAGAGGGGACGTTTTTCTGAGCTAGTGCGACTGAAAGCCTGCATCCTGCTGTGGCAGCCACCACAAAGCTACACGTTAAGGAAATGAGCTTTAATTCATGCAGGGTCAATGAATAGAAATTAAGATGCATCCCACTGGGTGACATATTGAGCACTGAGACCAATTTCATTTGAGAGATTAATTGTACTCCCAAAGGTTGTCATGAAACATCTAATTGTGCTAGAGTCTATTATAAGTGCCTCTCATTAAATTACTATCTATGATAAGAGTTGCAAATGCCTTTTTTGACAGACTCTTGCTTATAAAGCGTCCTTTGAGAACCAACACAGGGTATTTGAAAAAGGCTAATTCACTATATGTAATCACTAGAAAGGTATGGGTGTATTTTATTTAGCAAGGTTTAAAGTTTTGGAAGAGAAAAAACAAAATCTTTTGCTTAGAATTTCTGATGCAGAAAACACTAACAGACTTATCAGTTATTCAGAAAATGAGTCAGCAGCAGCAGGTTTGGTCTACACCCGACTGTATTAAAAAGGCTAAATCTATGTTATCTAGTTGAGGTGTGATGAGCTATTCTGTTTACTTACAAAAAGAATACAGTGGAAGACCAGATGTCCCAGTTTTCAAATAGGACTTGAATGCAGCTTACATTCGTGGATCTGTGTGAAAATCTGTCTCAAAACCCTACGTGGGCCTGCGACTCAGTGCCAAGCCCGTGCCAAGCTACATCAGCAGCAGCACAGAAGGGTATCAGCTGACCCATAAGGTGTCATCCCGATGGATCAGCAAAGAAAGAACAATCTCCAGGATCCTAGAGACTGTGATGACCAACTGTCTGCATAGGCCTCAGTCCATCATCACCCCGCAGGCCACCACCACCACACTCTTACGACTCCTTGTTTTGATCTCAATATTATATTATTTGTTTACCTTTGCTCAGAAATTTGAACCAAATCCTCAACCAAAACGTGAAATGCTGAGAATTAACACTCAGCCTTAAAGACATGAAGTACAAAAACACATGTGGACAATGTGCTCAGCAGACAATATAAGCAAGTGTTTTTGCTGGCAGTGTTATTAATGCAAAGAGCTGAGCACTCTTGCTCTCCCCACATATTATTTCCAGGTACAGTTAGATCTATATTGTGCATGACATGTAGCTTTAATGCAAGGGGTTTTACAAAAAAACATATTAAGTGTTTGGGAATTACAGCCATTTTCATACTTTCCCCATTTCAAAATTAATTGATAACTAACAGCTGGCTAACAACTGACTGACAATCACTTTCATGACCAGCTGAGGCCTGCTGATGAATAAAGCAGACATAATATCTAAAGCTGATTAAAAGGGTTGAATTTTACGTTAGGCATTGCTCTTTCAATTACGAGGCCCAACAGTGCCATGCTGCCAAACTACTGCAGATGGAAATTACAGAAGGGAAATTACTTTTTACTATAGTTGTCCCATCCTCTGTATATTAATAATGACAATAGCCAATGTGACATCACCCACTGGTTAATGGAGACGAGTCATGAAGCACTGAGCTGAGCATTTTTATCTTGACAACACAAGTCAAGGAAACAAGGGATGCTGCACACCTTACCACTCCACCCTAAAAGCACACACGACTATAGCCTATATAGGATTCCATAGGAGCAATAATGCATTATGTGAGCATCATGTTGTGTTCAACCAGACTTAAAACGAACAAATTAGACCACAGTCGTAATGATATCCAAAAGCTACGTCTAACTTTGAAATACAGTCATCTGACTGAGAGGTTCTAACTGAACATTACGCTAAGGATTGCAAGCTAACTATTTACCAGCAACAGCAATAATTGAGCTGCTTTTAAAGCCAAGGAAAATTTCATATTTTGAAAGTCTCTACTCAGAGTAGTGCAGATACTGTGGTGTATTTGTCTAATGTCTGTAGGTGCCAGATTTCTGCCACAAATTTTGTCCGACTTGTAGTTTATAGACTACTTGCAGTTCTGTGATGGATTCATGAAGGTTCACACACTACCAAATATCCAGCTCTGAGTTTATTACAGTTTTCACTAAAAGGGCTGTAATAATAATAAAAAAGAAACATACAGGTGGACAGACAAAAAACGTAAAAGCCACGTTTTCTATCTTGTTTATTCAGGTATCCTATGTAGCAAGCAAGTGCGTAAGCTAAGCTGCTCAGCTATAATTAGGCCTGTGATTTATTATACTTGTTTTATCTTAAAAAACAACAGCTTTTTTATTTGAATGTCTAAAATCATTAGCTGGTGATGCAGACTTTTCCCTGGGACATACAGCTTTAGCTTCAATTATTTCACATTATATTGCAGGCATCAGATTAATGGAAACTTTCATCCTTTTTTTTTTTTAAAATGACCTGATCTAAAGCAGAAAGAAGTGAGCCAGAAACAGCACTAGCTAATAAAATCTATTTGGTAAAAGGTGCTATTATAATTAGCTAGAAATGACTATCCATTTTTCATCCGGAATGACTAATACATTTAATGGTAAAGTTGGCTCCATTGTTATATTCACCATGTGAGAACAGAAGACTTCATATGTGTCTCTGCAGTAAGGGGATTGTGCTCAGATCTTTAGGATGTGTGAGTAAATTGGCAAATAACTACACTGTTATCCTAAATACAGCAGCAACTTCATCTGTCCAGCATTATATCGCCTTCAGTGATTTAATACTTTGCTTCAAGGTTCCTGTCTCCGAACTGGCTTTGGAGAATGTGAAGTGGTCCACTTGAGGCTGTGGTTATAGTTCAAGGAAAAGAAGTTTTTAGAGCAGTGTGTGTGTAGAAAAGAAAATTACCTTTATGACATGTTAGTGCAATAAAACTAGTGCTTTATGACCCTTTCTCTTAGCTTTGGGCTGTATTTAGCTATTGCCACTAAAATGTTTTAAGGTTAAATCCAAGTCTCTTGCCCTTAAATACTGATGAATGACTGGATAGGGAGCATTGCTCCAACTCAAAAGCTGCTCCAACACTCTTGCAATGAGATTCACAAGGAAACAGTCTGCTTAGCACTGACATATTTTAATGGTAATATCAATATGTTTTTCTCACTAGTTTATCTGTCTTTGGAGAGAACAAAAATAAAGGTGGAAGGTAGATATTTTTACTCAAGAATTTTTACTAACTTATTGGTGGCAACAGTGGAAGTTGAATAACTGGGATGATTTTGTAAAGTATGATGATTTTTCGGTCACCAGAATTTAGACCACAGAGAGAAAGAAAGTTTTTTTTTCCTCCACTAGCTCTGCTCCCTACTGTTTTATGTCACAGCAACGCCTTGTCCTTTTTACTTTCACATCTAAGACTCAGGAGGGGGTATTAGGAGGACATTTTTAGACATGTACAGTCCTTGTGTTCTGCCACTGTCAGCACTGGTGGCACCAACAGAAGGTTACATAACGTAAGACAAGGGGTATTCAATATCGAGGAAAGAAGAGGCTCAGCAACATGACTGGAGCACTGAGCAAACCAATATCCATATTCAGCTCTAAAATACCCAGCAATAGAACTGGTGCTGTTCCACCAGAAATCTCTACTTTTCTGTCAATCGGCATTACAGATCGTATTAATGATCTGCACTTTGTTATCCATAAACCTATCAAATTTGTCTAAATATTTGAATATTGATAAACTCCATTCTGTTTGCAACATGAACTCGTCCTTGACCCTGTCGCTTAGCAAGCTTCAACTGCTGGTTCAGCTGTCGCTGTAACAAAAGAAAGGATGAGAGGATGTCTTGTTCATGCAGCACTAAAGCAACTTTATCCATTGCAGTGAAAGTTGTTTTATTTATTCACTTACTAACTTATCGTTTCATTTATTGAGTTACGCTTACTGACTTACTTACAATTGCGTTGTTCATAGTTTTATTTGTTTGTTTTGCAAATGCCATTTGAAAAGAAAAAAGTTAAAGCGACTCTTCTTTAGACACATCAAATTAAAGGCATTTTTTGTACATTATCTTAATAAACTTTCTGCTTAAACTT